TCCATAGAAAAATGACAAAATTATCACTATATTATAATATAATAAATGAGATAAATGTGGAAAAGATATGATCTAAAAATGAGCCATATATGGTCCATAAATGCGTCATTTATGGCTCATTTTTTATTTCATTTTTCACGGCCTGGGTTACGGTTACGGTTAACCGTTCGACCGGTTATTACGGTTACGGTTATGACCGGTTACGGTTAACCGTAACCGGTGCATGCCTAAAGAAGATATTTTTATCCTTAAAGTTCGGTAAGATACGGATAATTTTTTCAAAATAGCCCAAACGGTATTTTAAATACTGAAAATGTTATTACAGGATACCAAATTGGTTTTTCTGCTTTTGAAAAACCTTTTTTGGTTTTTAGTATACCGGTTCTTTGCTATCATTTTCAACCCAGATTTTTTTATACTTAGTTTTTACGCTATTTTCATTACCAAATGACTTCCCATAAATTAAGCAAATAGATGCGTTTACAAACTTTTGGCAAAATTTATGGTATTAACTCGTCCTTGGATCTAATTCTCGTAAGTTTTAGATTCCCAGTACAGATACCTTATTATTTTAAGAACTGTTGAATGAGCTGCGCAAACTTTTCATGTTTTTTGAGTTTGTCTTTCTTTTTGGACATTGAAAACCGATTAAATTGGGCTGAAAATTTTAAAGTGTGCTACAAGTTTGCAATAGAAAAAAACTCTCCCTTCTAAACGAACTTAGAAGTAGTTTGAAAATATTTGAGATCGCGCTGAATTAAACAAATAGTGCTGGAAAATCTGCAATACCGCCTGCTATTTGAAGAGAAAGTAACGTAAGAAATGTCCCTCCCTATTTTTTCAGAAGGTGTCTCGTAAAAAATGCAAAAATATGATATTCGGTTAGAGCACAATTTCTTACCTATTTGAGATGAAAGCAGAGCGAGCATTTTTAATGCTTTTCTTTCGAAACTTTTTAAAACATACCTTCAACATTTTTTTTAAAATCCATACTCATCTCAGTTAATCTCTAGAAGTGGACAATTCTTTTTTGCAGGTTGTTGTGCTTTTAACATTCTTTCTGACGTCGGTCGGTGCGTTATATTTTAAAGTACCAAAAAGGGGTTTTTCTCAGAATAAAAGCCTAATTTGGTATTTTCAAACATATTATATGTTTGAAAATATTAAGTAGAATTATTTCTTTTTCGTTCGTATTTTACTAAATCGTTTTGATTTAGTACCAGCGATTTAAAAAGAACATGGTGTTTAGGGATCATCTTTGTAGGATGTCCGGGAAAGAAAAAGAGAAGTAAAAATTATAATCGAGCTTTTTCCAAACGCGAATACCTTCGTGAAAGTTTAAATCCAGTCCAATTCGGGTCGATGAATTCAAAAAATTTCCATCCCGTACAGAGCTATAGCTCTATGATATATTATCTGTATTCTGTAAGTTTCATTATCCGTACACGACTTCTTTTGTATTATCAAAGTTAACTGATTTCTTGCGACATCTATCTTTGAACTGCAGAAAAAGTTTGCTCAGCTTTTTTTTCTCTGCGTTTGTAGGTGTTTTATGTCATCTATTTGAATATTTTCACTGTCGTGGTTAAAAAAATTTTCTATTTTTCTCCTGTATGATTGGCTTATCCACAGAATATCCATACAGGTTAGCCGTTTTTTCGTAATTTGCTCACAGACATACAGGCAACCATTTTGTAACACCCTAGGCTAAAGTATAGGGAAAAAATATTTTAGAAGAACTAAAGAAGTGGAAGAAGGCAGGTTTTTTTATCATGATTTCTATTCTTTTAGGTAGCAAACACCGCGGAAGCACTCTTCTTTTTTTGTTTTATGCTTTCTTTTCTATCTCTCTGTCTCGTACACTAGTTTACTTTTCATTTTTATCTTTTTATTTTTCTATTTATAGTTTCTTGCTACTGCTATTTGACTTGAGTCATTGTTATTATAGGTTGGAGACCTTTGATGGCTCTCACTTTTTCTGAATAAATTAGTCTTAGTCTTAGCCTTCTTTCACAAGGCTTACCATTTGAAATGATTTTGATAAAGAGAAAGCTGTCTAAAAACTAGTGTCTTGCATCGGGTATTTTTCGAGTTTACCTAAACAGTGAAACTGAAATTCGTTTCTAACGAGCAAATTTGTCTAAGGTGTACGTTCGATAGAGAAATGTTTCCGCTTTCGAATGTGGTATTTTACGTGGAAAAAAGGTTTCACTGACGTGCTGCTAGCAATCCAAGTCCGTGAAAAACCAGGAAAATCGGGTTTTCTCGGGTTTTTCACGAACTTGGATCGCTAGCAGCACGTCAGTGAAACCTTTTTTCCACGTAAAATACCACATTCGAAAGCGGAAACATTTCTCTATCGAACGTACACCTTAGACAAATTTGCTCGTTAGAAACGAATTTAAATTTCACTGTTTAGTTACACGTATAAGCAATAAATACCCGTAAACGTAATCTGGAAAACCAGAAGGTATCCTAAGGTACGAAAATTGGTTCTTGTCAGTAACAAATGCAGATACCCTGTTTTTAGTTTTGTAGGTTACTTTTTTTTATAGAGTGTGGTTCAAAACTATCTGAAAACTGGCTATTTACAGCCAGTAAACCGTCTTTTAACAAAAACTATCTGACCGATCTAAAAACGGCCAGTCAACTGCCTGTTAACTAGCACTGCTCAATGAAAAGATCAATTCTTTTGTTTTATGAACGTTGAATTTAACTAGCCATTGATTCGTCCGTTCCGTTAACTTGTCTAGAGCTGCTTGTACGTTGCTAGACGATAATGTATTGGTTGGTGATATCTCGTAGAAGATGGAAGTATCATCCGCATATAGACAGAGAAAGCTATTAAGTTGTATCTCTGCTATGTCGTTGATGCAGATCAGAAAGAGAAGTAGTCCCAAATTGAGCTTCGTGACATGACTGTGTTGCACTGTTTTGTAAGCTTTTAGCTAGAGTTATGAATAGTCTAGTGTTTTGTTTCAGAAAGGAAGTCCTTGCTTGTATGTGTTTGTTCATTACACGCTGTCATCTATGGAGCACACACAAATTTTCCTTTACTCAACGACACTAAATATATTTTTCATTCTGTTTTTTGAAAATGACAAGAAATAAATGATAACACCGAGCAGTATGTTGTGTTTTAGATCGTTAGAAAGGATAGAGAAAGAATTTTAAAAATCGTACAACATCAGCTATAGCAAGAACTATCATGTCGTCTTCTAAACCTTCGATTTTACTCATTTCACTCTCCAAACAATCATTCTTCGATGAAATGTATGTTAAACTTTTATCTCAATTACGTTCGAAAGCAATCGTCACTGAAGCTCAAACAGGACTGACAGCCATTCAAGGAATTTCACAATCGCTGAAAGCTGTATTAGTCACCGATCCCGGTGTTACTAAACGAAAACATTCGGCAGTTGCTCAACGTCTTGTAAGCTACGTTAAAGAAGATGGTGGCACAGTCGTCTTCATGGGTCATTTCAGTGGTTTCATTTCGCCATCAGATATGAATGCCTTCTTTAGTAATCAATGGAATTTGCCTTGGAAGTTTGGAGCGTATCATCGTACAACATTCTCATTGAACACACATCATAACAGATCAATGGATAGTATTCACAATCTGCCCCGTACGTGTAGTATGAAGGCTGTTCATCTGAGAAATGTTCCTTTGGAAGCAGTTATTTACACGGCAACAGACAATTCGAGATTGGAATCATTAGTGTTTGCACCAACGGCAATTGAAGATCATACAGAGTATCCGGTAGTCTTTACACAGATGGGAAATGGACATCTCGGTTACATTGGTGATGTTAATACGGAGGAAGAAGATAGTCGAGTGATTTTTGAAATGTGTGGAATTTAGAGAGACCTTTTCAACTTCGCTTAGTACATTTTATGTCATTGTGAGTTTTACAAGGTTTTCTTTTTTATTGCTGTTGCTTTACCTTAGAATCCACACAAAGCATGAATTAATCGAAGGCCAAGGCACAAATCCTAAAGTACTCTCATTAGATCAAAAGGACAAATTTTAATCAAAACTTTTGTATATGTTATAAAGTTATGTGCGTTTGATGTGATTCGGGATTTCAAAACCAGGTAAAACATTCTATATAGAACCAGTAAATATTTAATACGGGACGGACCGTCGAGAGTCAAAATGACGGGACTTGTTAGATTTGTTGATTTGAGTAAATCATAATTTAAGACTAACACAGATGAAAGAAAATATTCAAAATAAATAACTTTTTGAAATGCTTTTAATTGAAACCTAATATTCGAAAAAATTTGCACCTGAAAGTTAAGGGTTATTTTGATCCTAGATTCAAATCCTCAGTTAAACATTTAATAAACATTTAAAATCTAGGCTTCTGGACTCACACAAACCGGATATGTCCTAAAAGCATTCTGATATAGATTAGTGATCGAGAAAAGTGGTACCAAAAACAACTAATCTTTGTCGAGTCAACACACGATAGTCGATAAAATATCATGATGTCGGTGTTCGTTAAAAATATTTTTTGATAAGAATTGTCATATGTTATCTACAGTTAATTATAATGATATTCTCAGCGTGCGTGGAAGAGGTCTTGTATATAATGGTGGATTTTCTATTGACGCAATCTGTAGTTTTAATATATTTGGTTTTTAAATCATTATAAATTTTTCAACAGACTCCCATGCCTATAGGTTCCTTGCTAAATCAGTCTTAAAGAGACGACTTCTTTACAGATCTGCGATAGAACGCAAAATTTTCTGACTCTCTTCTACTTAGTTAGGCATCAATATTACCGAAAGTCAAGTTATTTTGAACGAGATATGCCAATATATACTACGGACAGTGCGATTCTGAGAATACGTACGTAAACCGAGTACGGGTGGACTCATAAGAAAATCAACCACTAGCAACTAAAAGAAAGCTAAAAAAACGATGAATTTTATTATTTCATGTATGTAGTTTTGCTAGTTTCTTCCAGTCTTATTGTGCTTTCGATAAACAGTTCAACGAAATTACTTTCAGAAGTACAATTTACATTTATTTATCATTTATCCTTACTTTGTGATTTTATATAATTCAATTTATCAATGATTTTGTCAAGCCACAAGTTGGCTAACGGTTCAGTGTACCCAACCCAAATGGATATGAGGGCCGCCCTCATATCCATTTGGGTTAAAAGCCCCCGGGAGCTTTTAACAGATCGTTTTTAAAAAGATATGAAAATGAGCCGTTCGTTATCGGTCACTATCTCATAAAAAAATGATCATAAAAAAGTCATAAAAAAATGACCGTTTATGACGTTGTAGACAGGCCGTTTGTAGGATGACTTTACATTGCTCATTAATTGACCATTAACGACTCACGTTTTTTCACCTGGGACTGTCTAGAAATATGAACAGAATGAAAGGAAATACGACTAGCGTCCTGTTTTTGCTTTGTCGTTTTTTCCTGAAATATCGTCTTTTTGTAGGAAAACCATTATTTCTTACAAACCTTTTCACAGATTGTGGGTTATTGAAGCACAATGGAAAAAATGTCTCCTAACAAAGCTCTTGCTTCTGTGTCTAATGGGTGGGACATAGAGTAATAATTTTTTGTAGTGATAGGCGGAAGAAGTGCATTGTAAAACCCTCTGCATATTGCCCATTTCTATAACTATCAGTAATTCCAAGCGAATTCATAACTATTGACGGACATCTAGAAAACAGTGTTTAAGTCCTCCGAGCATCGATTCAATAAATAATAACATCATTGAGTTTTTTTCTTTCTCTCGCTGATGTTGACTGCCAGAAATAATATAGTAAGAGAATAAAAACAATGCTCGTCAAACGAAACAGACGAATATATATCGTTGTCTATGGATATATATATAACTGAGAAAATATGAGTGAATAAGAGACATGAAAAGAAAGATCTTAACCAAGTTTGAATATCTACCTATTGATGTTATTTTTGAAATATTTTCTTATTTATCTCCTGTTGATATTATCCAATCATTTTTATCATTGAATAAACGTTTTTCAACAATGATTATGCATCAATATTTGGGGCACATTCATATTGGTGGTAATACCATCTCATTATATACTTTCATGGTACATCTGTCTTTTAAAAATTCAAAATTATTAACTACTAACATTAACACCAATTATTTGAGCATGAGGCGTACATCTGATATAAATGATAATAATCATTGACAATCAATGGATCACTCTGATAATGATAACACAGAGGAAAATGATAAAACTAAAGCTAACATTTTTCACTATATTCGATGCGGCTATTTAACTAACGAGGGAACCCTTCTAGATGTCCTCTTCCGATTCCAATAATTTGTACATGGATCGACACATCTCAGTGAGGTTTTAAATATCCTAAAATCAAAAGTCACACAAAATTAGAGAAAACACTCCCTCCAAATCAACCCCATTTGGCTGACAGTTACAACAACATGGGCGGGGTGTATCACGACATGGGAGAGTACTCGAAAGCACTTGAATACTATGAAAGATCACACAAAACTAGAGAAAGATCTCTCCCTCCGAATCATCCGGATGTGGCTGGTGGTACATCGGCATCGGTTGTATGTTTAGAAACATGGAAGAGTATTCGAAAGCGCTTTTGTCTTACGATAAAGCACTTGAAATCTACGAAAAATCTCTCACTCCGATTCATCCTGAGTTGGCTAACTGCATCTATGAGGTAAAAAGCGATGGACTTTCGACTGTTTTCATTGATCACCCATATTTCAGCTCTTCGATGCATCGACAGTAGCTTTCTCATCTCGTTCTGAGATATCTTCCCCATTCAGCGTACTTAACGTTGTGTTCACTAGTAAAGCATCTCTGATTGCTTTCTTACCATCATCTAAGATATTGTTTGATCGGATATGCAGAGCGGTTAAAGTGTTGTTTACTCGAAGTGCATTAGCTATAGCCGTGGGTCTTCTGCCACCAATGTTGTTCTTGCTTAACGTGAGATGAGTAAGAGTGTTATTCATTTCTAGTAATTTTAATATTGCACATGTGCCATCATCGAGAATATCGCACTCTCTCATATGTAGTCTCACCAACGTATCATTTACTTTCAGTGCATCACAAAATGTTTCAACACTGCTCGCTGATACCTTCCATGAGCTAATGCCAAGATCCACAAGAGTTTTGTTCACTTTTAATCGATCTAACGAGATATAACGTTGACCAATCTCTTCAAACTGATTTTGAGAGACTTTAAACCTGCATTCACACATAGAGCATCTGTTATCATCTTCAAACCTGTTGTTGTCATGTCGGTGTCTCGCATGTCCAGTGTCATTAATGTTTTATTCAATCTTAATGCCTCTCCAATTAACTTACCAGCCTCGTCTGATATATCGTTTCCACTAATATTTATCTCTCTCAAAGTTTCATTTACTCTTAATGCATCTGCTACAGCGTTTATTTTAGCAAATGAGATTTTGTTCGACCAGACACCAAGATGAGTAACAGTGTGGTTATCTGTTAATGCATCAGCAATTTGAACTGCACCTTTCTCTGATATATCATTAAAGTTAATATAGAAACTAGTTAAACTAGTATCTTGTGTTAACATGCAGCTGTTATTCTGTTCCCTGTCATATCTAGCGTTGGCATAGTTCTGTTTGTCCTCAAAGCATTTGACATCGCTTCCATACCTTTATCAGATATATGATTGAAACTTAAATCGAGCTTTACCAACGTTTTGTTAACTTTCACTCCATCAGCAATTGCACATCCTCCATCAGCAGATATTGTGTTACTCGAAATATTTATCTCTTCAGGTGTTTAATTAACTTTTAATAACTCACCAATCCGACCGGCACGTTCATTTGTCAGATTGCAATGCGACATCCGAAACGATGTTAAAGTAGTACTTGATTTCATCGCACGAGCTAGAGCCGCCATACCATCAACTGATATGCTAGCCCAACCCATATCTAGACATTTTAAGCTCTTATTTGTTTCAAATACTCGAACAATACTGGAAATATCAGTGTCTGCAAACAATTTTATCTCATTTGAAGAGCTATCATCGAATTTCAAAAATTTATATATAATTAAGGCTTTACAGCGAGAATGTTTTATTGCATCTATCAATGGTTCACCATCAGATTTATTTAAGCCGTAGATGATATAAGCGAAGACCCTTCTCTATGAGATGACAGAACCTAGCCAATGTTTCACTTTTCATAGTTTTGTCCAGTGTAACCCTGCATCTCTTCTTGCTAAATTTCAATCCAATATTCTTCAGCTGGTTAATATACTGACTCATATACTGTGAATGATGAGCACCACAGACCCATCGAACCTGACCGTCACTGAGAACTATGTGATATAAATTGTTAATGAAGTATACTCTGCTAGAGTATTCTTGCCAAGCGTTTGCATTGAACTATTCGATTTCTGCTGTAGATTCAAAACGGAAGTCATTCTTTCTAAGCCAGATGGAAGCTCATTCCAAAAGCGTTTTCCTTCAGCTTTGTTCATGTCTGTCGCTTTCGATGATGTATGATTCGTTAGTGTACCACTCTTTAGCTGCTCCACAACTATCATCAGCCGTTTAATATAATCTCCATAGGTTTCGATCAATAGTCTTGGATTACCGACTGCGCAACCCTGATACGAAGCAAAATGAATGTTGTCTTTATAACACTCACAAAGAAAGTAAAGTCGATATTTGTTGATCCAAATATTGTGTGAGTTCCACTTGTGATTTGGATTAAGTAAGACAACGAATAGCTTCGCAAAGTAATCGTCATTTGATTTGTAAGCCTTTTGAAGAATATACTTGATCGTAGAGGTGTTCGCCATGTCAACGGAATCTTGCCTTTGATCAAATGGTTTGTCAAGTAAAGTGTAGGGTAAATCTATTTCTCTTAGATGAATAATGAAGAAACCAGGAGAGAGATTCAGTTGACCAACAACTTCAAAATAGATGCCTGGTAGAAGTAATATTTCTTCTTCAATTTTGAAAAAAGTCGGCATGCCAAAAAAATCTTCGTCCAAGTCTTTAGGTGAGGAAACTATGCCAGTTTTTAGACCATAGCTCTCTCGCACTGTACTGAGATCCTTTGTGTATGAGTTGAACGAGCGTGGTTTTATCATTTTACCATTTTGACATTCAATACTGAATAGAGTGCGTGTACCTGTTTTACCGATGTACATGGGTGATTCTAACACTTTCATGGAAAGAGTGCATGAACTGAAGGCCCACCATGGATACTCTTCACCGTCCAGATACTTCAAACTAAGATCAGCAGTGATTCCACGCCACACCGTGCGTTTAATAGACGGAAGTTTATACAGAGCTGTCAGCAATAGTTTTAGATATGGAAACCATGGCTTGAGATGGCGACGATTCTCAGACCGTAAAGTCTAATTCAAAACTGCATATAGACTGATGGGCTCCCATTCCATTGTGTACAAGTGTATGGCTGCTGCTTCATCTTGAGTGAGACCATCAGCTGGCTTTCTACAGTTCTTCTTGGCCACCCAGACTTATTGCGGCAGTTTCTCGACAAGATACAGAATAGGCTTAATGGCTAGCTCCAATGAAACTAGTGGTTCATTCTGATAACTATCAATGGGCTGAAGCATTTGTTCGGGCTCTTGTCGAACATCATCCAACAATCGATGATTGCGTTCTGTGCTATCAACTGTAGAGCCAATCGCCATTGATTCGCCTATGAAATATTGCTGGCTGAAGTGAGCGAAAAGAGTCGTCTTGTAGTGATGTGTGGCATGTTGTATATGTAACAAAGAAGGAAGGACATGTGTGTTTCGTTTCTCTTCATCTTGAAACATATGAGAGCGAAAGATATAACATGAAATGAGGTATTCATTGTTTTTTTACATAGGAGATAGAAACTGTTTGTGTCTTTTTATTGCTCTAAAGGATGATTCTTTTCTGTGTGCAATGTTGTGGCATGTAGGATCATGGGATATTTAATGTTTCAGAAAAGAAAGAAGCACAACATGCAGCTGCTACAACGATAGCACAAAATAGTTTCTCATCGTTGTACATTGTATTCAGTATGATTGCTACTACGTAGTTGTAATCTCTTCCTTCACTTGCAACTGCAGCAAACACGTTAAAGTCAAATTCGCATGAATTTACATTTGTGGCCACTTTCTAGTGGAATTTGGCAACAGCCAAGTTCTTGTGGAAGTTTAATTTCTGGCCAAATTCCAAAATCCAAATTTCGTTNGCTGCTACAACGATAGCACAAAATAGTTTCTCATCGTTGTACATTGTATTCAGTATGATTGCTACTACGTAGTTGTAATCTCTTCCTTCACTTGCAACTGCAGCAAACACGTTAAAGTCAAATTCGCATGAATTTACATTTGTGGCCACTTTCTAGTGGAATTTGGCAACAGCCAAGTTCTTGTGGAAGTTTAATTTCTGGCCAAATTCCAAAATCCAAATTTCGTTTGGCCAATTTCTAGTAAGACAGAAAATTAAGTACTTTTGCCGCGCTACACCAAATTAGATAAAAATTGGGCGCTAGATACAAAATTTTTCTGTGAATCGGACAGCAGGTTCCTTTTAATTCTATTTTGACTTCGTCTCTGGCGCCGACATAGTCTTCGTGATTTTTGCCTAAATTTTATTTTTCTCATTGGCGCCTTTTTTTCAACCAATGAGAAAAATAAAATTTAAGTAAAAACCATGTAGATTATGAACGGTAAGCTTTCGGATTTTGCCTCGAATGGTACACCATGGTAAACCTGATCGAACGCCATGATTTTTTTCACAGATCTATGTGCCCCAGTGTCTGGTTTCAGAAACTGAAAACCGCAGGTCTCTAGATCTTTTCGTTCCGGAGTTATAAGCGTTTTGTTCACTCATCTTCTATTTTGAAATGGATTCTATTTCCTACTAGGAATAGATGGTAGATTACTGCTACCAGCAACAGTAATATATACAATATTTGTATTACTGGTAACAGCAATAGTAATGTGCCACCCCTACTCTGTATTGTACATGTGACATGGAACAGATTTTATTTTAATGTTGCAATATTTTATATTAAAATGTCAAAGTACAGTTGGAATTATTTGACGGAACTGCATAATGAATTATTTCTGTTTACATAATCCAATAGGAAATGACATGCAATAGAACCACAATGTACCCTCGTACGCCATTCTTCTACATTTCTTGTTCAAAACTAACTTGCGGTTAAACATTTTTCACATTTTTATTTTCAAATTATTTATAAATATAATAAAAAGTATAAAGTGGATCCTGAATTAAAAATAAAATATAAAAAAATTGTTGGAATATATCGATAATGCATGAGTATTTATTTATTTTTTATTGCCTTTTTGTTGATCGGGTGAGGGTGCAAATTCAAGTACTCTCTCCTTTGGATCTAGTCGTTCAACACGATGTGTTTCTTTGTTCAAGCCTTGTTCTTCTTTTGATAATTCCTCACGTTCTTTTTTGTCTTTTGTACCCCATTGAAGTGACGCATCCAGATCTTGTGTTTTTGTACTCTCATGTGATGGTTGTTGATTAATGTCACTGGCATTTTTTTGTTGTCCTTGTTGTTCTTTATTTAACAACGATGAAAATGAAAATTGACGATATGAACCAGCCAAGTATGACAGACGATGAGAAATAAATTTTGAGAGCATGATGATTCTCAGATCTAAAATAACTGTATAAAATTTCGTTAAACTAGGATCAACACTACGTTTGATTGAAAAAACGGAAATAGTTGGTTTTCATTTCTTTTATTTTTCAAGGTAGATAACTTAGCAAAACAATGAGTCTGTCAACTACTTGATTGTTGATGAGTTACGTGATAAATCAGCATGTAATGGTGAGCTATTTTTAGTCTTTCTTTCTGGTCCTCTAATAATTTATCGTAAGATGTACAAGCATATTGGTCTTTGAAACACAAATGATATTCGTGTAGGAAAACAGACAGAGATTCTGACATTTCAACACAAAGATAGGAGAGAAAAAATAACAAAACAATAGATGAGAAAATTTGTCAGAAGAGGAGGAACTATTATCAATTCTGACTCGAGCAAAAAACTCGAATATCGCGTTTAAATCATGACAGAATGGTCGAATTGGCTCGATTATATAAAAGACACGTTTGACTAACAGTTCTCACCGTGAACAAATGCATTAATATTTCAAGTTTCCTCTGGCAAATTGGATTTTTGAAAAAAATTCATATTTATCAATATTTTCAAGTCTTTTTATACGAAAATGTAATTCAAACTCTTCGCTCCTAAATAGTGAAAAGTGCAGAACTCTGCTTCTCTTCAATCAAAAGTTGTTAAGATAAAAAATCTTCTACCACTATTATTTTTAAAAAAATGACAAAAATAGTTCTACGAAGTGGAACAAGTTATGCGAAGTCAATACCAACCGAAATCAGATTAAGAATTTTGTGAGAAGGAGCATCCTAAATAAGATTAAAAAAAACACTAGTCAGTTGTTCACAAATAAAATGTGATGTTAATCTTTAGTATTTACTACTTATCTGTTGGAATAGAGGTGTGATAGTTCCAGTTCAGTTCTTTTGAACGAGAACTGGTACTACCCTAGGCAAGACTCCCGACAAAACTCCCACGGGACTTCTGTCATGGGGTCCTGCCGGATTCAGGTGTGACTCCTGCCTAGGACATTCAAAACTGCCCAGTTAACTTCCAGTTAATTGTCCGTTAACAGGCAATTTACTGGCCGTTTTTGGACAGTTTCAGCAAAAAATCAGTATCCCAAAAACCAAAAAAGGTTTTTGAGCAACAGTAAAAACCAATTTGGTATCCTGTAATACCATTTTCAGTATTTAAAATACTGTTTTGGATATTTTGAAAAAATTATCAGTGTCTTACAAAACTTTAAGAATGAAAATACTTTTTTGGCATTCTACAAAAGCAGTTTTGGTATTTCATAGAAACGGTATTTTGTTTGAT